AAAATAAACAGTAAAAAAAATAACCTTTACATGATACGTGTATACTGCAATAATAATGCTATATAATAAAATATAGAACTAGGACTGAACTTAACTGTGCAATATTTCTGTATAGCAATGCATCATCTTCATCTTCAAATTACATCCTCTGCCATCCTGGAAGGTGGCTTCACACTTATGAATGCACATTTTGCCATGTGTTACATGCTGTATCTGTGCATTGCCTTGCATTTCTCTTCATTTTAAAGGAGCACCAGAACCCACATACAACAAGGAAACAAAAGCACTTGCCTCTCAGCACACTGCAACTAAGATCATAAAGAATACAAGCGTTGCCTTGCAATGCTCTAAAAAAGATAATAGTTAAGCATGCTTTTTGCTATGTGAACATTGTATAGGGCTCAGGGGCGGACTGACCATTCGGGCACCCGGGCACTGCACTGATCGGACACAGAGGATCACTGTGAGTGACTGTGTACGTTTTGCTGGTGATCCACTTTGTCCAGACACCACAGGACTGTGTGCACATAGGTGCACACAAGAGTTTAGTTCTCTGTGACATGTATTCACTAAGCCCCGTAAGTAGGCACTGCTGTGCCACAGAATTCACACAGCCTGCCTTCTGAACTACAGAGGTGCTGAAAGGAGGAGTGTCAGGAGGCACATTCAATACAGGAATCACTGCCATGGGATATGTAGTCCTTAGAAACTGAAAGTAAACTAAAGGAATAAGCAGAGGAGAAGCAGCAAAGCATGCAAGGAATCCAGAAAGTTGTGGAAGAGATGGCCAGCATACATACAGTACACACAGCATGAAAGATTGTTCATGCTTTTCACATTATCATATATTGGATTGTCAAAAATAACTATTGGTTGTACTGCTGTAATGCTGATGTTATAAAATGAAAGTGTATGCTGTGACGATAGTGTGGCGATTGGACGCAGACAACCATTTTGTTACTATCTACCATCTTGTATCATACTCTGCAAATGACACTCACTCCGTTCAGTATTCCCCCTCCCTTTTTTTAATGGCATGTGGTGTGCGTGTATGCTAGGGTCACAAGTGCATCACCCTAGCAAACCCAAACCCAATTGGCTGGTCCCATGATGTCTGTCAGACTCTTGCCTTGGCCTGGTCGTAAAGCTATAAATCATTCAGTCACTGGACATGAAAAGCATTCCAGAGTGGCAGTAAAACGTACATCCCACTTGAATCACTTTTCATACAAATTCATAAAATCCCGACAGGAACAAGGTACATTAAAACAAAGCATATATTCAGATAGGTCATTTTAATACAGGTCATCTGATACCTTACACCTAGGTAACGTCTACCAAAGAGTAGAAAGCAATATCTTTTTATCCGTCGCAGCCATCATATTTGTCATATATTTGTCATGTGAAATTTGATGTCTGGACGTTCAGAATATGATTCTGCATATTAATCTACCAATGGCTAGTCTGCTATATGTACCTATGGAAGGTTATTGACCATGGTATAAACTTGTGAGGGATTTGGGTCACAGCCTGGGTCTCCGCCTAACACCCCTCCCCAAATGAGGCGATTGGCCCTTGGCTTCAGTAGACACCCCCTGCTGGGACACTAGAAAAGGCTGCCATGCCTAGAGAGAGTTAAGAAGAGATTCTCCCTTTTAACACCAGTAACCAACATTGGGAGAAAAGGTACCCTTTTGTTCAGGACACTTGAGCTCTGCTTAAACCAAGGACTTCTGCAGGTATCCTACCTTCTGAAACTTCTTTCTTTATCTCTCTGTTGTGTTATTGCTCTCTCTATTTATATATATATTTGTTACATCTTTTTCTGTAAATATTTTTATTGCACCATTTTGACCTTTTTAGTAATAAATCCTATTTGCTGAAAAATGTTGAACTGTTTCTAAAGCTCTTTAACGCAATCTAAGAATCCCTGTCTCTGAAGAGTGGTACAGTGTGTTTTAACCCTATGCATACATCTGTCTGCGGTGGCAGTGTGTATACAGACGCTTATTCAAACATCATAGTGTTACTGCTAAGATTTGTGAGTTTCCTCCTTCTCTGTAAAAAGGTGGTGGTGGCAGTGTGAAGGGTTAATTGCGTAAGTAACCTGACCCAGTAACAATCGCTCTCAGGCTGCTGGCATATAGATTGTGGTCCAGCGAGCTGGAAAATCTTTGTGCAGGGCACAGCTGAGAGTGGCATTGTTATACAAGTGGCAGCGCGGTCTTGGATTGGCTGGTCCTTCGGTCACAAGTTGGTTAGCAGGGCAGGGGTCTGACGCCGCGCCTGTCACACATAGGGCTCTAAATCAATGGCTACATTGAAAGCTATAGAAATTACATATATAAAATGTTCGTGGCAGTGACAGGGTCAAAATACATACTTCTAGCTTCATATGCTAACTTACAGTATATCATTATTGTATTATATTGTGTTAGAAATCCACATGTTAAGCCTAGATAAAATGTCACCCTGATCTCATTGTTACAAAACGAATCACCAAAACTCAAAAATCTTTATTAATCCATAAGAAGCTGATTAAATGTTTCAGGACATGACAGTGTTCATAGACTTTAAAAGCAAACAAGCAGAAATCATCATCTTTTATTATACAGATTATACTAAACTACTGATGATTGACCAGTTATAGATTTCTCTGGGTTACTGCACCTCAATGCTATTAGTATCATGTCATTACAGTAAAAGTCCTTTCAGTTTTGAGTTCAGAGTGAATTTTGATAAATCTGAAAGAAATAAATGAGATACCGTATTTTTCACTCCATAAGAAGCACTTTTTGCTTTAAAATGTCTGTGCGTCTTATGGAGTGAATATGGAGCGGTCGGCCCGGTATTTCCGCCGCCGCCGTGTTAGAATACCGGCGGCGGTGGCTCGGCTCTACTGATCAGCAGAACCTGCTCCTTGGTCCTACCTGTTCCTCAGTCCAATGGTGTCTTGCTTTCACTGGCTGTCTTCTCTCCCCCGGCATCTTCAGTGTGGGCACCTGGCTGTGATAGCTTGCGTCTTCACAGGCGGGTGCCCACTGCACTTGCGCGAGAAGCGCTGCGCTTTGTGAATGGCCACCTGTAGTCTTCTGGGACCTGTCACATGTCCCACAAGACTACGGGGAGGACAACTCCGAAGAAGTGGGAATGTATATCTCCTGTAGTATGTCCGCAGTCTCTGGTCATCCCCTGTACTGTGTCCGCAGTCTCTGCTCATCTCCTGTACTATGTCCGCAGTCTCTGGTCATCTCCTGTACTATGTCTGCAGTCTCTGGTCTTCCCCTGTACTATATCTGCAGTCTCTGCTCATCTCCTGTACTATGTCCGTAGTCTCTGGTCATCTCCTGTACTATGTCCGCAGTCTCTGGTCTTCCCCTGTACTATATCTGCAGTCTCTGGTCATCTCCTGTACTATATTTGCTGTCTCTGGTCATTTATTTCCTGTACTATGACTGCAGTCCATTGGTTCAGAATATTTTTTTCTTGTTTTCCTCCTCTAAAATCTAGCTGTGTCTTATGGAGCAAAAAATATGGTAATTGGGAAATCTGGGTTCTAAAACCTTAAGGTTTTTCACTGTAATGCATTCTTATTCTATGCAGTGGCTCTCGCCGCCATCTCCCTCTTTTTTAGGCAGATTGATAGCAGCGGGAGCCATTGGCTCCCACTGCTGTCAATCAAATGCTGTACCAAGGGAGTAGGGGGGGGGGGGGGGAAAGGGCCAAGCTGCCCGCTCTGTGTCAATGGATGCAGACAGGGAGGCTCGGGAGTGAGCCTGCACAGGTGCCCTCATCGAAAGCGGCTTTCGATGGGGGCACCCACCGAAAAGGAGGGGCCAGGAGTGCCGAAAAGGGACCCCAGAAGAAAAGGAACAGCGGCGAGGGACCCCAGAAGAAAAGGAATGGGGCTGCTCTGTGCAAAACCATTGCACAGAGCAGGTAAGTATAACATGTTTGTTATTTTAATTTAAAAAAAAAAACAAAGCTTTAATATCGCTTTAATTTTACCACAACTGACAGGTGTCAAGAACTGCTTGGATATCTTTTTGTGAAATTACTGGACCAGCTCTGCACCTCAAGATGATATGCTTTGGCATTGATTTACTAAAGCAAAGTAGACTGCTCACTTTCCAAGGGAAGTACTTTGCAGTCGAATTGTCCCCGGATCATTTTTTTAAACTTAGTTTATTGAAAAAAATTGCACATACAAATTACATTCCCCCCCCACCTCCACTTTGAAGAGGGAGGTGGAATCTCCATATCTTCATTTAGCTGTCTATATATGCTGGTTTTAATCATGTGCTGTTTGTGATGATCCTATTTTTAATTTTTTGTAATAAAAGCTGAGCTGTACATTTATACTTGTGTTTGTTGCCTTAAAAGTCCCATCATACATTTTGGGGAAAAATTTTTTATTGCAAATTTGGTACATACCAAAGCAAGAAATAGGTACATCCATGTATATGCACAATCAGGAAAATCAAACAGGAAGAACAAAAAACTTACATTAAACATGTAACAAAGAAAACCAGAGTAAGCAATCGGACATAAGAATTCTGCACGCACGTATGTTATTAGATTGAGTTTTTCCACCTAGGTGACCACCACCACAAAAAGTTACTAAAAGAAAATGTAAGAGAAGGGCACAATGCTAGTCATTATCCCAAAAGTCATAATAACACTCTGACCTCCAGCCTAAAAGGGGGTAGTAGCAAGAGCAGAGGGGAGGGTTCGACTAAAACAGAAGGTATCTTAGGGTCAGCGACTAAATGTAAAAGGGAGTCCCTGGTGTCTTCTGCGTCCAGCCAGGATCCCCAGAGTCTAGCTTATAAAGTGTGAGGTTTTGATTATTTAAATGATTCTACAAAGCAATGTGTAGGGGGCTAGAACATATCTAATATAATGCAATAGTCTTCCTGGCGTAATAGAGCAGTATTCATAAGAATCGTTTAACTTTAGCAGTCAGCTCAATATCATCAAATTACCCAAGAAGAAGGCACCACTTATTGCTACAAACTTTAGGGAGATGATATTTAACTGAAATAAATGTAGTAATCTCAGACCAAAACAGTATGACCTTAAATGTATGACCAGGGGCGGACTGACAACTCATGGGGCCCCCGGGCAATAGGGGATCATGGGGCCCCTGTGTCCTTGCCCAAACTCAAAAAAGCCTATGAAAAAGGTACCAGGGGCATCTCATGGGACCCCTACTGACCCCGGGCCCTCGGGCAGTGCCCAAGTTTCCAAATGCTCAGTACGCCCCTGTGCATGACCAAACCATATGCATATAGTCCCCTTGTTCTGACTCACATTTATGGCATGTGGGGGTATTGCATTTGCACATATGAAATAAACACTTAGGTGCATAATACATTCTGTGTAAGTATCTCAATTGTATTTGTCCCCATATCTTAGTGAATGCGGTGAAATTTCATTTTGTAAAGAACACCCAATTCCACGCATGGAAACGTTTTTTAAATAATGCATTTTTTCTTGCACATGCTTGGATGATGGGAATCAGCAGAGGTTCACCTCATGCCAGGGGCGGACTGACAGCTCATGGGGCCCCCCGGGCAATAGGGGATCATGGGGCCCCTGTGTCCTTGCCCAAACTCAAAAAAGCCTATGAAAAAGGTACCAGGGGCATCTCATGGGGCCCCCTACTGACCCCAGGCCCTCGGGCAGTGCCCGATTTTCCAAATGGTCAGTCCACCCCTGCCTCATGCACTAAACTCTGGGAAAACATTTCCTTGCAAAGTGCAACTTTCCTTGCAAAGAGAACAGTCTAGTTGCTTTAGTAAATAAACTCCATTGTGGGATACTGTATTTGTCTTTCTTTCTCCAGCTCTCTTACCCCTTATTGTTTTCACCTCTTTTTTATTCTTCGTTCTTTTGTGTTACATGAAAAGGGGCACTATTTATAGATCTCCATAAAAGTGTATTACCATTAAGCAACCACATATCACAGAGAGAGACCAGAGAGACACTTCCAGAAGTGTTGGATCTTAAAAAAAATCTTCAACTATATACTGTAACTTGTTTTGCAAACAAAGTGCAGTAGTGCTGGTGGCAAGATAGGTAAGTATGTTATTTGCAACCCTGCATTGTGTCACCAGTGGTGATGATTTTTTTTCATTTGACATTTGCTTTGATGAGTGAATCACTGTTGTAAATGTGAATCCACTTGTTAACACTTGGTTTTCTAAAGTAACCTGAGTAATTCAAGCAGAACTTCACCTGAAAACATCCTCCACCCCCCCCTCACTTGTGGAGGGTTTTTTCTTTTTGGGAGTGGGAACCTAGTTTTGATAGGAACCAGTGTAAGTTCATGCCCCCCCAGCCGCAATCTCCTGGGACACCTCACATGTCCCAGGAGGCTGCAGGTCCATTCATAAAGAATAGCACGCCTTGTGAATGTGCAGTGAGGAGCTGACTGTGAAGCCAGAAGTAGTCACAGCTGATTTCTAACAGTAATCATGGCGGTGCTGGTGACCCGAAGACCGACAAAGAACCGGTCCAGGTGAGGGCAGAGCTGGATCCCTGGACAGGTAAGTGTCTTTTTCTTAAAAGTCAGCAGCTACAGTATTTGTAGCTGCTGACTTTTAAATGTTTTTAAAAAGACTGAAGATCCTCTTTACTCTAATTTAACAACTATTCAAAACTTCACTCTTGATGTTTTGTGCTTTGAGCTGAGATTACTACAGTGTTTTTTACACATCATAAGCATGAATTTCATCCATTTCAAAGTCCACCTTGTGTACAATTTACCAAAGTGTTTTATACCAAATCTTCTTTTCACAAAAGCATGAAAAAAGGTGTGGCAGTGTTATTGTGCTTTTGACAAATTTACTAGTCTTCTTCATGTAAAATAAACAAGAGCACCATTATGTCTCCAAAATTGGGGCTAGAAATGCAATAACAACATCTAAAGTCCTGTACACACGGGCTGTATATCGGCTGGTATCAGCCTGTGTGTACACCGAACGGCCGGCTTCTGTTGAGTAGGCATGTTGGAAAACCAGCATCCGATCAGTGCCAGCTGCCAATAGCTGCAAGTGCTGACCGGTGTGTTCTGGTGAGGTGGCAGTCCTCACAATAGCTTGGTGGGGAGATTGCTGTACTAACATTGGATAGTTAGTACAGCAAGCTGCCCAATTTGTTTTTCGTTCAATCCACTGGGTTGAATAAAAAAAACCTGATAGTGTGTACCCAGCATAATAAATCAAACTAAAGTGAAGTGCTCATAAAACAAAAACAAAACCAACATCAGTCCAGTATGTGTATCTATAGTAAAATGTCCATGCAAACAAAAGAACTCTACCATTAGTTGTAGGTGAAATAATCTTGATATAAATCTCCACATATTAGTGTAGAAAACTCCTCCAGGTGAAAAAAAAAAACCACTCAGTGCTCCAACCCCAAATGTCCAAATCAAAGGCTTACCAGAAGGGTATGACCCTCAAGAGGAGAAGCTATATAATGCTTGAAAGTGGTTAGCTCAAATCCTTGATATATGTTGCCACTTCACTCCACCATATACACTAAATTGCCAAAAGTATTGGGAAGCCTGCCTTTACACGTATATGAACTTTAATGGCATCCCAGTCTTAGTCTGTAGGGTTCAATATTGAGTTGGCCCACCCTTTGCAGCTATAACAGCTTCAACTCCTCTGGGAAGGCTGTCCACAAGGGTTAGGAGTGTGTCTATGGGAATGTTTGACCACTCTTCTAGAAACGCATTTGTGAGGTCAGGCAATGATGTCGGAAGAGAAGGTCTGGTTCGCAGTCTCCGCTTTAATTCATCCAAAAGGGGTTCTGTCGGGTTGAGGTCAGGACTCTGTACAGGTCCAGTCAAGTTCCTCCACCCCAAACTCACTCATCCATGTCTTTATGGACCTTGCTTTGTGCACTGGTGCACAGTCATGATGGAACAGGAAGGGGCCATCCCCAAACTGTTCCCACAAGTTGGGAGCATGAAATGGTCCAAAATGTCTTGGTATGCTGACAACTTAAGATTTCCCTTCACTGGAACTAAGGGGCCAAGCCCAACCCCTGAAAAATCCCCCCTCCACCAAACTATACACTTGCACAATGCATTCAGGCAATTACTATTCTCCTGGTAACCGCAAAACCCATACAAATCCATTGGATTGCCAGACAGAGAAGTGATTTGTCACTCCATAGAACAATCTAGTCTAGTGGCGGCGTGCTTTGCACCACTGCATACGATGCTTTGCATTGCACTTGGTGATTTAAGGGTTGTATGCAGCTGCTCGGCTATGGAAACCCACTCCATGAAGCTCTCTACTGTTGTTGGGCTAATCTGAAGGCCCACACGAAGTTTTGAGGTCTTTAGCTATTGATTCTACAGACAGTTGGCGGCTTCTGCGCACTGTGCACTTCAGCATGCGCTGACCCCACTCAGTCATTTTACATGGCCTACCACTTTGTGGCTGAGTTGCTGTTGTTCCCAGTTGCTTCCACTTTGTTATAATACCACTAATAGTTGACCGTGGAATATTTAGTAGCAAGGAAATTTTACAGATGGACTTATTGTACAGGTGGCAACCTATCACAGTACCACGCTTGAATTTGCTGAGCTCTTGAGAGCGACCCATTCTTTCACAAATGTTTGTAGAAGCAGTCTGCATGCCCAGGTGCTTGATTTTATACAGTAAATCTCAGAATAAGTGAGCGCTTCAAACAACTAATAAAATCAATTAGTGAATAAAATGAATAAATAAGAAGAAAGCAGCTGAACACCAAAAGGTACCATATAAACCTTCATAATAAGAAATGCATACGAGGGAGAGGTGCAGCGCTAGCTGAACAAATATACACTTATATACTTAATAAATATACACTAATATAAAGTGCTATTAAAGTGCAAAACGGTGACTAAATGACAAGTATAGTCCGTAGCGTGCTCAAAAATCCAAGAGAGTCCTTAAAGAGCTCCAATCCCTGGATTCGTGGATGAGGTGATAAAGATAAGAATTGCGCACTCACCAGATACGCAATTCAAGTGCGCATTTGAAGCTGATAATTCCAGGGTCCTCATATGGATCTGGTCAGATCTGGTCACAAAAGCCTCTCGCCACCTGGTAGTGTTTTCCACACATGGAAGAAAGGGGCCACTCTGCAGATGTAAAGGACTCCCACCAGGAGAGCCCCAAGAACAAAGGAGGCCAGATAGTGTGATACCTTATACACAAGGGGTGTTTTATTCCCAAAGACACATAGTATACAGGCAGAGGCAGGGAAGATACTGACCATACATAGGATAATAAATGGCCGCCGGGGCCCTCGTGGCGCCGGTCGGCGTGACATCACACCGCTTGTAGCCGCTCCCTGACGCGTTTCGTGCGAAGGCACGTAGTCATAGGGGGTTAGCTTACATGGCCACAGATTTTATACACCTGTGGCCATGGAGGTGATTGGAACATCTGAATCCAATGATTTGGAGGGGTGTACCAATACTTTTGGCAATATAGTGTATATTGGGCATCATGTGCATGAAAAAATGAGACCGCTCCACTTAGTGTAAAATCAATGGTATCCAAAATGTATTTAAATATAGTGCTACTCACATGCAGTATAGAAAAAACACAGACAGCGCTGTACAAATGAAATCCCCCAGGAAAATATGTAGACCGCTTCTGGATTCTGTAGTATGTGATGAAATCGCGAGTATAGTGAGTTGCACTGTTTTTTACTATGTTTGTTACTCTTCTGTTGCCTAGCCTTGTTAGCTAAGAAAATTGTCTGTCAGTGGTCCACTTCTGGAATGCACCTGGCTGACAGACTGGAACATGCAGTTTTTCCTAGGTCAGGATCTGCTCTCTCTTTTTTTCACAGAGAAAGTTGTCTCCTCTCTGAAGCCTCATTTATGCCACTGCCATGTCTTTGATTGAATTTGAATGGATAGCCCTCCAACACGTTGCTCCAACATTTATAGGACAGCCAAATTGCCCTTAGCTCCAGATGTTACTGGGAGATGAGATTCCTTCTGCCAAGTGCAGGGGACCAAGACCCCTGTACTGACTGGGTGCCCAGAACTTCTCCCTAGCCCGCTGCAATATCTGGACACTCAGAGAAACATCGTTCAAAAAAGCCCCCAGTGAATGTTCAAATAACAAGACGTAAGTATTCCACAATAGAGATGACATGATAAGGCAAGTGGGCTAACACTAGCCCAGCACCTTGGTCAATGCCCAAGGTGCCGAAGAGAGACTAAAAGGCAGAAGCTTAAACTAGTACTTTAGGAACCTTTGGCAAAGTAAGTATCACCGATGACCGCATAAGCCAAAATGTCTCCCTGGTGATGAAGGCAATAACAGATCTGCTGGATTACTTCTGGAACTTTTGGGGTTCAGAACCTTGAGATACAAGATTGACAGATGCCCTCTTTGGGCCTGGGAACAGTGACAGTGTAAAACTCCCACACAAATCTGCCACAAGAACTGGGACAATGACACCTTGACCCACAGGACCCAAGAAAGAGATCTGACAATCTGTGTAGACACTGGAAGGTTGGAAGTGAGAAAACAAATGAGGATGGCAAGGAATGAAACTCTGTGGGTGGGCAGGAGCTAAGTTGGACTGCCTCAACACTGAAGTCAAGGCAGTAGAGAAACAAAAAGGGACACTTTTTGGCAGGCAGCAAAGGAGATGTCTTTGTCACTTGCTCCGTAAGCTTCTTCCTCTGGAAGATGCTGTTGCCATCAGTGGAATCTTTGATATTATCTAAAGCCTGTCCAAAGAGATGTCCCTCAAAGGTCATACCAATCAAACTCTTAAATATCCATATGTGTTTTGTGTTTTTTTAGCATTCTATGTTATACCCTCCCTGTGCGGGGGGCTTTTTTAAATACATGTTGCGACTGTATTGTAACGTGATCAATAAAAAGCCTACAAAATATTATTAATATTTTTTTCCCCTCTTTTTATAAGTGATAGCATTCTCTCTGTTCTCAGTTGCATAAAGAGCTCAGGGAGGAGAAACAGCGGGACACTGATCATCTTCCCAGTGAATGGCTCTGTGTGGGAGTGTGTGTGTGTGGGTGGGGGGGGTCAGAACAAGCCTGATCATTGGAGGAGAGCAGCCTGAGAGCCCAGCACAGCTAGAGAACTGACCTCGCTTTGCTCTCTTGCCTTGTGTGGTCAGTTTTAATAGGAAAGGGGGGAGAGACTGGCAGGAACACCAGGGATTTCACACAAAGGTAACAATACAGAGAACTGGATACATTTTCATACAAGTACATAGTACAGCAGGCACAAATCAGGAATATGAAATGTTGGGTTTTTATTTCTCTAAGATTTTATATTTTGTTGGTTATTTGATTTGTGCAATCCTTCTGTTTTTTGGACTATGACTTAGCAATGTATAGAATGGTGGTATTCAAGGTGGATGCTCTGTATCCTACATTGAACGTTCTACTCTAGATTCCTAGCAACCATTTTTGTGTTGTCAACACACCTACAATGATAAACATTCCCAAAAATGTGAAAAAAGAAAAGCTGCAACATCATCACCCTTTACATGTCGGGTAGTATCTCACAGAAAAAAACTCCCATTCCAGGGCATGCCTGTATTTTCACTATCTCATTAGACTGCTTGAAAAAGGCAGTGAACCAATCAAGAGACCAGAAAAAAAAACTAATTTGGATGCAGAGTGAAATAGAAACATACATTTTTACAGAAAGGGAAATTGCCCTTTAACAAATAAAATGCTTTTGGCAATTTATCTATCATGTTGCAGAAAAAGCATTTGCATATCACATTTGATTTATTTTAAAGGCATCCTATCAGGATAAAAAAATGGAAAATGCAACTTCTGATTTTAAAGATCCATCCTCTGTGTCTGTTATTATCATCCTTGCATTACCAATCAAACCCTAAGTTGGATGAAGTATTCAGTTTGGTACTGACTTGACTGTATGGGATATTGCTGAACCATGCTAAAACAAACCAGAATTGACATGGCATATACCTACAGTATGACCTGAATGTTTCCCTTTAAACACAGAAGGCATGTTGTGGTTTTGCTACTAAAATAAAAAAAAGTGTGGTATATGGCATTAATCTGGTCCAGGGGTGGGCAACTGTGGCCCTCCAGTTGTTGTAGAACTACAAGTCCCACGAGGCAGTGCAAAACTGACATTTACAAGCATGACTCCCAAAGGCAGAGGCATGATGGGACTTGTAGTTCACCAACAGCTGGAGGGCCACAGTTGCCCACCCCTGATCTGGTTTATAAGGGAACCAAGGAAAATGTCTGCCCGGTATCTTTATATCTCATTCAAAGTTGAGCAGAGAGTGAGACAGAGGGGATAGGCCAATGGTACACTGCAGGAATGCAAGATTCTGTTTCTCAGACTATAAAAAAGAAAAAAAAAGTTGATATATTCAGCCACACACATATCCAGTGCTCTGTTCCATTCCTGGAGAATTACGTTTGTATAGAAATCTGCTGGGAAAAGTCATGGCAACATACGATCGAAGTGGCTACATTTTTACAAGTTGCGGTGTAACTACTATAGCAGGCTGTTCTCTCCCAGCCACTGCTCTCCCTCCTTCGGTTCTCACAGCAGTTCACAGGCAAAATCGGTCACGCAGCCTGTTTTTCTCGATCTGTTACCTTATCTTCTGGCAACAGAATGTAATGTATTACAATTAGTGGTGACCAGAACACGTTATGTATTATGATCTGTAGCTGGCAGTGTGTGAAATGCAGAATGCTGACTGCAAGGCACCCAGGTTCCTAAACAGAAATAATCCACTTATGTCTCCTCTCCCACCTCCTCTTCTTGAGAGTTGTAATATACATCTGAAAATGCACAAGATGCATAACAGTAATCTATGATCATCAGTTGTGGAATTATAAGGTGTTTGATTTGGATATTTTACCTTCCAATAAACTGAAAATTTTACAACTGTAAAAAAAAACCCAATGCAAAATACAAAGTTGTCAGCACGGATTTTATAAGTGCCCCCACTTTCTGCAATTATGGGCAATATTACAAATCTATCGTTTTTGAAACCCATCATAAGGATAAAAAGTAGGGTAGCCTTATTCAAAAAGCTTTTTCACCAACTATGAATTCAGACACTGGGATAAAACATATGGGAATAAGGGAAGAAGCTAAGTAGGTCATAATATTATCACATGTTTAGGTGTTTTTCATTCTAAATGTATATATGTTTTTAATATTTTCACAATAGTGTACCTTTAAGGCCTCGCTCACAACATGGTGCAGATATATCAGTTTTTCTACACGCATTCTGCGAGATCACAGAAAAACAAAAAACAAAAAAAACAATTGTTCTCTACTGTATGTACCCTGTTCACACCACAACACTGGTATCACATGCAGACTTTTTTTTGCGCAGGTATCTACAACATGTATAAAACTCATAAAAAATCAGGTAAACTCATGTCTCTGCAAGAGAAAGCTGTGTGTTTTTTACATCACTTTTTGTGCTTGAAAATAACTATTTTTTTTTCAGATTTTTCCAACGATGGGGGCACATAACATTTAATCTCAAGGTTTAGTTTTTGTATATAATGTGTTTCTGAGAAGCTAAAATTCATATGATTAAGGGCACATTTATACCAGGTGTGTTGGGACTATGCTGGGCAGACTTATGCAGGCCATAGACAGTTCGTTTATCGGCCGATTTTTTGTCTGAAAAACGAAACATCGGTCGTTCTGTTGCCACCAATGATTGCGAAAATCAGCCATTTTTCACAAATGTTCCAGCATGACCGATAAAAGAAAATGAGGATGAACCGCGAAAATCGGCCGATGCCATTGCCCCTCTAACAATGTGAAAATCGGCCGATTATTCTTTTGGACGAAAAACCGGCCGATAAACGAACCGTCTATGGCCTGCATTACCCGGCGCAGTCCGAAGACAAGTAAAGGCAAAAATACTTGTTCCTTATCATGTCAATTCACATCATTGTGCTGATGTGGTGTGCACTTAAAAAAGGACATTACACTGTGAACTTAAACTGGAACTAAATGTAAAAAAAAAAAAATTGCATGCACAGCCCAATTTACATTCCGGCATACTGCCAGTGACGCGATAGTGACGCCTCTAGAATGCCTGTTGTTTTTTCGGGGGTTTTTTTTTTTGCAGCTGAAAAGGCTCTACAGGGGGAATACCACAACACAACAGTGAGCTTAGTGTTTGGTTCACCATTGCAACGTGAATAGGTCATGTTCAGAATTCATAAAGAACTTTTCTCAGTGAATGAATATACTAAATGAAAAAAATATTAATAAAAAATATAAAATATAAAGATAAAAAAATACACAAATCAATAAATATGCAATAAATAATAATAAGTGTCCCAAAGCATAAATGTCCCAATCAAAGAATGTCCAAAAAATATTATAAAATTGTCTCTATATGACAATGTCTTTTCCACCTCCAAAACAAATAGTGTC